CTCGTCCCTCGGGGCCGGCGCCGGGGCTGAGGGAGGGACGGACGGTGGGGAGGGGAGGGCCGCTCTCCGCGGGCCCCGGCTCGGCGGCCTCTGAGGGCAGGGAAGAGACCCAGAGCACTCGAGGGCGGGCTGCGAGGAGGAACGAGCAGTCACCCGAACAGGCGCCTTCTGTCACCGAAGATGGGGGTGCGAGCGGCCGACGAAGAAGAGCCGCGCCCGCCTGAGAAACTCTCCGCGCTAAATGGCGCCGGACTCTGAAGCCTCCACACAGCCCGCTCGGACCCCGCCCCCTGCGCCCCGGGCGGCTCCACCCCCGCCGCGCGCTGAGCTACTGCGCAGGCGCGTTAGACTCAAGGCACGCTGGGACTCGTAGTTCGTCAGAGCGAGGGGTGAAAGGGGCTGAGGAGACAAGGGCCTAGGGCTCCCGTGATGCTCTGCGGCTGCTTTATCTGATGCCTCCTGGGAACTGTGGTTTTCTTTGGAAACCACCCCTTCTGGAAACCTGAGGGGAGCGTCATCGTGGGTCCCTCAAGCCCATCCCGAAGTCAGTGCTCGCTAGGAAAATCATTACTTAGGGACTAATTGTGGAAAAAGGGAATGAAGCAAAGAAGGGAAAAGAAGAGTGGGAGAAAGAGGAGAGACTCCCGTCATGCTCTGCTAAGAGGGTTGCTTTGCAATGAAAAATGATCTCTTATTGGTCTTTAATGGAGAGCCGCAGTGGTGTTGAGCGAGTGGGATGTGAGGGAGGAGGGGAGGGCAAAGCAAGAGGAGAGAGCTGAGAGTCGGAAGAGCCATCCACTACTAGGAAACTTTATGGAGATAGCGCATGAGGTTAATATTGATTAGATGGGTTAGGGTAGGAGCATTAAGACAGCATTATCTCCCCGTCCCCCATGCACGCGCGCGCGCGCACCAATTAAGGCCACATTCTCAGCGCTAGACTCAAGACAGAAATTCTGAATGCAAAGATGGGCTCCCCTACTGAAATCAAGGATTGTCTTGCTTTGCCCGACGAAAAGAACGAACGGGGGTGGAGGAGGGGGATTCGAGGACAGATAGAAGATACATGTTCGCGTCTTTGACCATAAACTTGAGAGGGCTGAGTTGACTTTCGCCTTTGTAGTTGGCTGAAACTTAATTTCCAGCTTTCTCTGGTTTAGTAGCTTAGAAAAAAACAAAAACAAAAAACACACCCTCTCTCTCTGGAGCTGCGTGCATGTACGTGTATAATTTATACCAAGGCTCTGGATACCGAAAATCTGGATCCATACAACTGACAGTGCGGGAAATACTTCCCTTCCAACCATCCTTGTGCTCCCTGGACCCTGTCGCAGTTTGCAACGACAGTGCACAGGGTTGCACAGGTGATGAGCAGCAGGGGGCACCAGACAGAGTAGGAAGCGGGATTTAGAAACCAGATGGCAGTTAAAAGTTAGCTCGACCGGTAAGAGCGGGAAGCGCTTACGCATACGCAACCGCATCGGAGCGCGGACCGCGCGGAGAGCAGCAGTAGTTTGGAAACCGCTGCCCGGAAGATTCGTTAGTACGGTTTCTCTGGATGAGCGCCGCTTAGAGAAGTCTCGCTATACCATTTGTATAAGCTCATCCGACAACGTCAAAAAACGCTATTTCTCTTTTTGTTTTGTTTACCAAAAGCTACACTTTCAGGCTTATCCAGAACGTTTGTTTTTAAATCAACGGTATTTAGATTTCGTGAAACTGGCAGGTTACGAACATTTTAAAAGTACAAATTCAGTAGGGGCAACTAGAGTACACTACTACAACACTTATGTTCCATTGTTTTAGGGAATAAATCTTTCGTTTACCATTCTAACGGTAAATCTTATGGTGACTGTAACTAATGGATTTTTTTCCAACAATAAACCTAACGTCAGCAAGGGAAGAAACGGCTTTAGAGTGTGTTTTTATTGTACCTCCTGTTGCTTCTTAGAACTTAGAACTCAGTTTTACTAGGAAAAAGTTTGTTTATAACATAGAACAACTAATTATACATTGGTGAGTTAAAAGGAAATCAGTAAATCACAATGTTCACTTTTTTTCCCTCCATAAAAAGAATTAGGATGTTTCTGTGTGAGTAGTTATGAAAGGATTTTATTATTGCCTATTCCTGTTTACTGAGACCTGAAACTTTGGTTACACTGCATTGGCCAGAAGTCTTTAACAATCCGCATACCCTGTCAACAAGTCATTTCAAGCAGGAACACCTAACTTCATTGTAAATAGTTGTCAACTGTTGATTTAAAGCACCCTGGCCCACACGACAGCTTTTCTTACTGGGGTCAGGTTAGCGTTACTATGAAAACACATATAATTTCAAGTATAATCCTATTATGTACAATGTGAGATTTAAAACTTATACTCTGTACTGTGGATATTTTACTATAAACACTTATTTGCTTAATTCTCTTTTTAAAGTTTACCAATCTCGAAGTAATGTGATTTTTTTTCTATATGTTGCTATAATCCCTAGTAATTTTTTTTTTTTTTTTTGTCTTTTTGAGACAGGGTCTCACTCTGCAGATCAGGCTGGTCTTGAACTCTCTTTGTTAGCCCAGGCTGGCCTTGAACTCACAATGATCCTCCTGCCTCAGCCTCCTGAGTGCTAGGATTACAGGTGTGCGCCACCACGCCTGGCTCTTAGTAGTGCTTTTCTTACTGTCATTTTGATTACCAAATAAGGAATCAACTCCTTTATCATCTATATTAAAACATCAAATGATTAAGTAGAGATAACAGAAAAAAACTAGAACACAGTACAGTGAATACACTAAGTGTAGAAGTTTGCCACGCTGACCTCTGGGTACATAAGAATATAATTATTTCCCTTCTCTCACCGTGTTCTTTCTCTCTAGCTCTTGTTCATTTTCTCATGTTGGTTCATGTTTCTATTTCCCATCCATTCAGATTATAAGCCAATATTAGAGATAAAGTGAAATCACTTAAAAATATTTAATTCAAGTCTGAGATGGTAGCACTTGCCTTTAATTCCAGCACTAGAAAGGCTAAGGCATGAAAATCTCACAAATTCAAGGCCAGCCTCAGCTATATAGTGAGTTCAAGGCCAGTGTGGACTACAGAGGGAGACCCTATCTTGAACCAAACCAAGAAAACAATTTTTTTTTTTTTAATTCAAAAGAAGGCAGAGTTGGGGATGTGGCTCAGTGATAGAGTGCTTGCCTACTGCACAAGACCCTTGATCCTATCCCTAGAACTCAAAAAAAAAAAAAAAAAAAAAAAAAAAAAAAACAGAGCAAAAGAAGGCAGAAGAAAATACATGAAACAACTAGAAAACATGACTAAGGAGTATTTAAACCACATTTACAATCATATTAAAAGTAAATAGTTTTGGCTAGGGATACAGTTCAGGGCACAGTACCTGCCTAGAAAGCGCAAGGTCCTGAGTTCAATTCCCGATACCAAAAAAAAAAAAAAGAAAAAAGAAATGGTGCAAATTCTTTTAAACTCTCCAGTACAAAGGAAGACATTGATGGGTTAGATAAAAAAAAAGTCATATCTTACTACATGCTGTCTATTTTTTTAAAGTCCTTTAAATCTTAAAATATGTTGCTGGGCATGGTGGCGCATGCCTATAATCCCAGTGCTCAGGAGGCCAAGGCCAGCCTGAACTAAATAGTGAGACCCTGTCTCAAAAAAAAAAAAAATCTTAAAACACAGATGAAAAGGAAATGGATGAAAACGAGATATACCGTGAAAACACTAGTAAAAAGAAAATGAGTAGTGGTATTAATATAAACAAAGACTCAAAAAAAAAGAACAAAAACAAAACTTTAAAAAATCTCATAGAGTTCAATTCATCTAGAAAAACATTTCAATACTAAATATCTAAAGCTGTACAAATTCTAGGCTGGGCTAGGTGTTGCACACCTGTAATTCCAGCACTCGGGAGGCTGAGGCTGGAGGATCTTTGTGAGTTTGAGACCAGCCTGGGCTACACAGTGAGCTCAAGGTCAGCCTGAACTGCATACCCTGTCTCAAAAAAAAGACAAACAAACAAACAAAAACCAAATTCTAGAGGAAAATCTGTAGCCCAGGGCTAAGCAAAAAAAAAAAAAAAAAAAATCACTTAAAATACAAATCACAAACTATAAAAAAACTGTTAAAATGGACTTTATGCAAATTAGAATGTTTTTGTTCTTTAAAAGACAATGCGGCTGGGTGTGATATACATACTTGTATCCCAGCTATTTGGCTGAGGCAAGAGAATTTCAAGTTCCATACAAGGCTGAGAAATTTAGCAAGATCTTGTCTCAAAATAAAAAGGGCTGGAGATATAACTTAGTAGTAGAGTGCTTGTCTAGTATGCATGAGGCCCTTGGGTTGATCCTTGGCACAAAAGAAAGGAAGAAAGGAAGGGAGAGGGAGAGAGAGAAAGAGAGAGGGAAGAAGAGAGAGAGAGAGGGAGAAGAGAAAGAAAAGCAGCTAAAAAATGAAAGAAAAAACAAAATATT